CATCGTTTTTTACAGGGTTTTGTGGCCTTCGCCGTCACAGGTTTCAGCTCGGCGACGTTAAAAAACTATGGGTTTTTCATGGTTTTGGGTCTTAGGACGGGGTCCGGAATGGAAACCTGGACATCTTGACGGCCTTGGTGCCAACATAGGGCCAACATCGGCCAAGATGTGGGCTACATGGGTCAACATAAGCCTAGGATAGGGGCAAGCCTGCGCCAACATAGGGCCAACATCGGCCAAGACGTGGGCTGCATGGGCCGACATAAGGGCTAGATGGGTCAACATACGGGTAAGATAGGGGCAAGCCTGCGCCAACATAGGGCCAACATCGGCCAAGATGTGGGCTACATGGGCCGACATAAGGGCTACATGGGTCAACATAAGGCTCAGATAGGGGCAAGCCTGCGCCAACATAGGGCCAACATCGGCCAAGATGTGGGCTACATGGGCCGACATAAGGCCAAGATAGGGACTACATAGGCCAAGATAGGGCCAACATCGGCCAAGATGTGGGCTACCTGGGTCGACATTACGCCAAGATGTGGGCTACATGGGCCAACCTAGGGCCAAGACAGGGGCAAACCTGCGTCCAAATAGGGCCAACATCGGCCAAAATCGGCCAACATCGGCCAACAACAACAACAACAACAAAACAAGGACGACAACGACAACAAAAAACATGGACGACAACGACAACCACAACCACAACAACAACAACAACACCAGCAGCAGCAGCAGCAACAACAACAACAACAACTTGGTAAAGCCACCAAGATGGCGCCAACCTAGGCCGAGGTAGGCGCAACCTCGCCCAAGATGTGAGCCACCAGGGTCGAATTCAAACCCAGCTCGGGCTGACGGGTCTGCTTTTGCCGGCGCCCGGCTGTCAGGCATAAGCCTCATAATCCGGCGATTCCGGCGATGCCGTGCTGTGGTGGTTGCTAAGCATAGCTTTAGCTACCCGGGGGCGCGCGTCTGCCGCCGACCCTCCCCTAAAATCCTTCAGCCTGCTGGGGTTTTCACGTTTTTGGGGGTTCGTGGTGGGAAAAAAGAAGGTAAAATTTGAAGATGCGTTTTGGAGGTCCTTGTTGGGCGTTTTTTGGTCGATTTTTGGTCAATTAATTTTATTTTTTGGTACTGCCCACGCGTAAAAATCGTGTAATTTATATACAATGTGTTTGTGCCTTTGGCATCCAAAAGAAGGTTCTGACAACATGCAGGAAACTGCGTTAAATACCAGTGTTTTTGCTAGGCCCGGGCCACAAAACACTGTAAATACCGTGATTTTTGCTAGCAGAGGCTCAAAACCTCGTAAATACCGTTGTTTTGCGTTGGCGCGGAGCCAAAAACATCGGTATTTACGGTGTATTTTTGTTCCTAGAATGTGAAAAATCGCGAAAACACAGCCTATTTGGCGCTTTTTGGGGGTTTGCAAAAACCGTCGATTTGACGATTTTGGGGGGTTGCAAAAAGTACCAACTACAAAGATAACAACGACAACGATAACAGGACCAAGCAGCAACAGCTATAACAACAATAACAACAACAACGACGACGACGCCGACGACGACGAAGACGACGACAACAACGACAACGACGACAACGACGACAATGACGACAACGACGACAACAAGGACAACGACAACGACAACGACAACACGAACAAGAACAAGAACGAGAACGAGAAGGAGGACCAGAAGCAACAACAACAATGACGACAACAACGGCAACGACAACGAAGATGCAGCTCGCAGCATGTCAAGTCCGCAAGTTCAGATGAAATCCCCCTCTCTCTTTCCCTCCCCCGACCCCTACAGGCATCGCCGGTGTGCGAAGCTCTACAATTATCAATTATCAAAATGTCTTTAAGTACTTCTTCACAATGCCCTGAGTCTCCTAAAATAGTAAAATTTAGGTCGGCAAAAATTTACGTAAATTTTTGGATTTAGGTCGAAAAATTTACGTAATTTTTTACTTAGCTTAGTAAATATTTACCATTGAAAAACATTTAGGTATATACCTAAATTGATTTAGGTATATTCCTATTTTTTGTCGGGTTTTTTTCATATTTTTTTATTTTTTATTTTTTGTGTGTTTTTTGAAGTTTTTGCTGTTGATTTTCTTAACATTTTGAATGGCGTGTCTTGTTGACACTGTTCAAGTGTAATACTGTTTTACATGTTTTATTTTGGTTCGATTGTGGTGATGGCTGTGTGTTGATGATATTTTCTTTCTAATGAACATTTTTGTTTTCTATTTGCCGCTTGATCTGTTGGACTTGCGTATGTTACTTGGGCTTTTTGTACTTGGGCATGTTAGTTTTGTGTGGTTATTGGCTGGTTATATTTGGGACCTGTGTGTGTGTTACTTGAGCTTTTTGCACTTGGGCATGTCAGTTGTGTGTTTGCTTGTGCATCTTGGATTTCGCTTTCGATTCCTTATATTAGGGTTCTGTTTTGTGTTTATTTGAATTTGTTCTTTGATGTGTTTTACTTGCGACAATTGTTTTGCTTGAGAGATGTTTATGTTACTTGTGTGATGTTTTGTGTCTACTTGTTTTTACTTGAGCATGTCCAAGTGTCAGTTGCAGACTGTGGGTCTTTTCCATTGGTAGAATTTGCATTTCAATATTGGATCAAGTAACTCATGTGTGACTCATGTTTTCTTTTCTAGTTGGTCGCCATTTTGGCCTTGTGGGCATTGAAGCCTTTGTAGAAGGTCTTGGCCTTCCTTTGACTTGGGGCATGGCTGTACTAGATGTGTTATTGCTGTTGTTTTCTATGTTTTTATTGCAAGCCAAATCTTCACTGAATTTGCTTGGCTCTTTGTTTGCACTTGTTATGCGATTTTTGTGCATTTTTTTACGCACTTTTTTACACTTTTTGTGCATTTCTTATACACTTTTTATGCACATTTTATGCGCCCTTAAAAAGCGCATAAAAAATGCAAAAAAAAAGTGCATAAAAAGTGCATGAGGATTTTGACCAACATCAGAAAAAAACACAGAACAACACCAAAACCAACAAAAACACACCAAAACCAGTGTACTTTCATTTGAGTAATCACCAGTATCACAGAAACATCAAACCTAATATGTTTTTTAGCTTGGTTCATATCAAGGAAATCAGTGAAGTACCTTCCATGTTCAATAGATTACAGGTAGCACAAGTAAGACAATTGGTGTGGCAAATCCTCAAGTAGTAAAAAGTAATTTGCAAAGGCCTTCCATTTACTCAAGTGCTTATGTAGAAAGCAGAAACAGTGCAATATCTCCAATTCCCTCAAGTAAGACATGTTTTTGCTTTTTGTGCCAAACCTGAACCGGCACAATCTTTGTTTTTTGCAGAAAATCACCCAAGCGGTGTTTTTTGCTGATTGCGCCGCACCTGGCCCGACACTATTCTTTAACAAGAACACCAGCTCCATATATTTTTCGGGGGACATCACTGACATGGTGTTTTTGCTTATTGTGCAAGACCTGACTTGGTACAATAAGCAAAAACACCATTACAACATGTAACCAGCCAGGATCCCAAGTAACACTCAAGTAAGGCATGGTCCACAAGTAATCAACCAGGTCCTCAATACACTAGATGGTGATGGCAAAAAAATGCACCAGTGATTTCACTTGAAACCACTTACTTGAGTCTTCTTACTTAAGCCATTATATTTGAGCATCATTGTCTTGAAGTCCTTTTGCTTAAAAACATCTTCAATGAGTACAAGTTCCTTGGGCGTGGTGAGCTACTTTCTTATGAGCATTTTATTTACACCTCAAACTTGTACCAAAAAAACAAATCATAAACCTGATGCATTGATTCCATCTCAAAAATGATATATTTCCAAAACATGTCATGTGTTAACTAGTTTTGTTTGTTTTTCAACAAAAATATACAAAAAAACAGCTTCAAAAATGAAGAAAATTAGGAATTAACCTAAATTGATTTAGGTATATACATACCTGAATCAATTTACTAATTTTGATTTTATATATTTTTTAAACCTAAATTCTTCGATTTACGAAAATTTTGAAAATTAGCAAATTTACTATTTTTGGAGACTCAGGGTAGCCTAAAAAGCATGATTGAAAATAATTATTTGGAATGAAATACTGTACAACTTTTTGGAATTAAATTGATTATTTGGAACAACATTGAATTATTTGGAATTAAAATGAATGAAAAGGAATGTTCTAGGAGTGTCCCTGTAGGGAATGTCCGTTTCCAAAAAAAAAAGACTCCATGAGCTTTCCTGTTCCGCGTAGCAAGCCGAAAAACAAAAATAAATAAAACAAAACATCTTGAGACTGGAGACAATTTGCTTGGCCTCTTTCTTTTCTTATTCATTTGGCCAACAGCACACCTGGTCATGTTTCCCAGGCCTTTTGCCGACAGCTGGCAAGTACGGCTTTCAGCCATTTATGCCAACGGCCTCGGGTTGAGCTGAATCTCGGCGAAGTTTGAACAGGTTTGAACAGTATTTCAGTTTTCATTGTATTTCCAAATTCAGTAAATGATATAAAAAGGCAGACAGGTTGACAACTTGTATGGATTTGCCGGTTTTTGGCAACCTCATCTCTCAAGTGGATCGATGGTCCGACAAAAAAAATTAGTTGACAATCCAATGCTGATTTCATGTGATTCTAGATGGGACCCACATCAATGCTTTTGAACTGATGCTGGCCCTCCCATTTTGCAGGGTTGGATGGCCAAACTCAAAACTCGGTAACCTCTCGTTGGTGACATGTTTCAAGTGGGAGAAAGCAACCCTCATTTTCCTGATCACAAAGCAACTCTTTAGACGCCCGTAGACCCCGTAGACATCAGCAAATGACTGGTATGAATCTTCCTATTCAAGTATGGTCAATGCCAGTCAAATACATACTAGCTTCTTTGAAACCATGCAGAACTGATTTTTTTCTGTGTGTGAATGTGCCTTTTGCCATCCAGCCTCTACTTGAATCGAAACCTTGGGGCTGGGGCCGGGGCGGCATTGTTTCTCCCACGCTCTCGCATTTTAAATTCTAAGGTGTGATGTATTGTACCATCCCGGGACGCTGGCCCAGTTTGAGAGGGTGGCAGAATCTGTGAACCCCTCTTCAACTCATTCATAGGCACCAGCGCCATCAAAAGAGCGCCGCTGCCGTACTCATTTGCTCCTTGGTGCCCAAGTTTGCAGTTTGAGGATTTTGAGGCCGCAGGCGAAAGAGTCCTGACTGTTTCACTTTGGGATTATCTATCAACACTCCAAACGTACGTCCGTCTCTAATTTGGCGAATCTTGGGAATAGAAGAAAGTACAACATGAAAACTACCGGACAGCCTTGTCCATGTCATGCCAAGGAATTTTTCCTTTGGCATGAGACTGGAGGGTGAAATCCTCCATCTTAGCTCATGGCCGGTACACCCACTGAACCATGCAAAACCCGCCCTTTAATCTGGAGTTCAAGCTTCCGGACCATGAACAAATGCAATCAGCGGCCCACTTCAACCACTCTTCAACTACAGCACTCACTCAACCCATCCCAGCCCAAGCCAGCTCAAGTCAGCTCAACTCCAGCACTCATCCACTGAGTCCAATTGAGAAATCAGCTCAGCTCAACTCGCTCAACTCTGGCGCGCTCCACCCCTGCAAGGATAAACAAACCTCCAGGCACGTTCAATTATTAAACATACAGTGAACATCATTGCTGGTAGATTGGTGCTCTTCCCTCAAAGGATCCCGGGTTCGACATGTTTCAGCCTATCCTGGTACGAGGCAGGCATTATAAATTGTGTTTTTCGACCAAGGCTTGTAACTAGCATTACAATAATGGCATGATGTTCCCCCTCATGCTGCTGCCTGCACGGTGTCATTGAACTGATCAGTTGATCCACGGATTGCTCTTGCACACATGCACACATCACGTCCGATTGAACTTGTTGCGCATTCTCGTAACCCAAAAAATGCCCCGAGAACAGGTCCGTTTTCTGTTTGTGTTTGCAAATTGCACGAACCTGGGAAGGCGGGGGACGAAAGCCAGGCCCAAGTCGCAGCGATGCTCTCTTGCATCTTCTCCACGAAGACCAGTCCAAGCAAACACGTGTTTCTGTTGTCTCAAAAAACCTTGTGTGGCTGACTAATTATGTTTTGTCTGAAGTTTGTAACAAGAAAGGGAGAGAGACAAAGAGAGAGAGAGAGAGCGAGAGAGACCAGAAAAACAAACGCACCATCCCAAAGGAAACTCAAAAACGACACTGATGCTATGAAGAAAGGCTCTTACAAATCGAGGCGCGCGACATGCCTAAGCTTCCGAGAACATTAACACACCGAGGCTGCTAGGGCGTTTTGCATCTGATGCGCAAACCACTTGCATTTTGGGCATTTCGTGCGAACGCTTATTGTTTCAAGGTTCGAAAAAAAACACTGCAAACGGATCAAACATCTGGCAAAACAATGGCGTGTGCTATACCACTCATGACACCAAGACTCAGGAGATGGTCTGGCAGTCAAACATTGGAAAGTTGCAAAATAAGTAGTTGCCATGTCTATTTCGTCGTTTCTTTTTCATTTGCAACTTCATTCCTTGTTATTTGCAACTTCGCGTTGTTCATATGAAACATCGTTTTGGGTGGCAATTTGCCAAAACAGGGAAAACTGAAAAAATGATGGGAACATGATCAAACTGATTGGAACAAGCTGAGTATCCTTGAGAAAATGAACATGGAGAAAGTCAAGTTGACAATGACAATCCTGGAGAAAATGGAGGAAATGAAGTTGAAGCGAAAAATCAAATGATAAAACGAAAGAACTCAATGTTTCTTGAAAAATAGGAAAGCATGAAGTTGGCCATGAAATCCTGGAGCATATGTTAGACATGACATGAAGTTGAAATCAAGCATGTGAACAAATTCCTTTCTTCAACTGATCCTCACCAACTGACATTCTGTCTGACACATATTCCTGACATAATACCTGGCATTCTATCTGACTGACATATATTGTGACACTCTATCTGGCATTCTATTTGACGTATGTTCTGACGTTCTATATCTGGCATCCCTTGTGGCGTTCTATCTGACATCTGGCGCGCGCGGTTGAGGCCCGGCAGTGCCCACTGAGCTCCGGAATTCGCAGTTGCCGGAGGAGGAGGAGGAGGAGAAGGAAGCAACTCTGATAAAATCTAGAGACCCTCACGTGGCAGGTGGGGAACTCAATTTTCTAGAAGAAAAAACATAAATTTGAAATGGACACTGACAATCCTGGAGAAAATGGAAGAAACGGAGTTGAAACGAAAAAAGTTAAAATGCGCAAATGAAGATGGAAATGAGAGCGGGCATGAATTCAACATAAGCATTGACACATTTTCAGAGAAGCCAGCGTCCACAGCGAATGATAAAAATGGCTACCTGGGGCCAAGGTGTGGATTCCTTCTGTGAAGAGGGGCTGAGACATGGATAATTATCACATTGATAGATAATTAAAAAAATAAACAAACATATATATTTATATATATAGATATATATGCTCAATTTTGCGCGCAATCAAGCTTCTGTGACTTGTATATCTTGTATTCATTTGTATACTAGTGGGTCGTCATGGCGATGCAAGCAGAAAACATGGACTATGACCGCCTGAAAGAAATTGTGGACGACCTCTCCTGCAGGGCAATCTCTCCTTCGGTGATGCCTGAAGCCCCCGCTGGTTCCTTTACTCTTGCATCCCTCCCCATGTCTGACCCTCTGGTGGTGGGAATCTTGGTGTCCATTTCTTTGACATCATTGACCATCCAGGGTATCTCAACTTCTTTGCCAATAGCACTATATACCAGGTAGCATGTGAGAAGAAAGGCTTTCAACTTCTTCTTGAACCCTTTGGCCTCAAGGACATGGTGCCAAAAGACACAGTGATCCAAATGGTGCTTCTGAAGCAACCGGATGACAAGATCACTATTGTCAAGCACCTTTCCTTCCCTGAAAAGATCAAGCTCCAGATGTTGAAGAAATCGGTCTATGGCAGCCCTTTCAAGCCTCGATTCATGTCAGCCAACCCCAAAGCTGGCAGAAAAAAAACTACAATACCGTTTGGAAAAATTGGGAGGCCATGCTTTCACATGCTTCGATCTGACATCCCAAGCTACACGCAAGGGAGGATCGAAGCCCAACTTGGCCTTTGAAGAGGAAGACGATGAGGAGATTGATCAAGGATTTGACCATATCCTTCGCAAAGCCCCACGATCTACCTGTGAAATGGCTCAGTTGAAGTGGCAGACCAAGGAACTGCGCAACAAGGACTCTCCCATCTTTGGCTGGCCTTGTGGTCTAGTCAGCCAAGCTCTCAAGAGTGTCTCGTCTGACGGCGCTTGTGCGCAAAGAAGCCAACTGGACTGGCCTCTTCCTTTGATGTCCTTGTTCTACGATACCTCTGTCCTGAAGCTTCTCGAAAAGATCTGGGACTTCGACCAGTCCGCCCTTACCCTCTTAGGGGGTTGGCGGCGGCAAAAGCCCCCTAGGCCGATCGGTGCTTATGGCCCAAGCCAGATTCAATCTGGATGGACAACCCTGCATTCGATGCACGCCTGCGCTTGGCTTTCTGAGAGGAAAGCCAGGTTGTGTATTGATGAGGGATTTCTTAGACGACACGTCTCTCAGCATCCTGGACATGAAACTTGTCAAGGCTTTCCTAGATGTTGGCCTCTTCTACGAGTCTATGGCTTGGGCTCGATGGGGGGCCAGCAAATGGGAGCAAAACCAACCTAGGGCTGTTGCAAACAACATCTATGAAGACGGGTTGGACTTGCCGCATGACTTCCTCGACCACATCACCTTTGAGAATTTCTACAAGCTAGGATTCTGCATCGAGGGCCCACATGGATGCTGTCTTCAACACCAAGGCTCACATCTACTACCGTCCGGCTGGCATCAATGAAGAGTATGTCTATCGCATCCCTGTGCTTCCTGAAGGTATTCTCACGGAGATGGGTCGGCAGGTCTATGGGGAGTACAAGGGTGGGAACAAAGAAATGCTTGGGAATTTCATTGACGAGGTTGAGAAGGAGCAGGAGTGGGTGTCTATGTTGATGGAGACAAGGTTGCAAGACAGGAAGGTCAACAAAAGTAAGGACAAGATCAGGCAACAGGTTCGTTCAGAAAGGCCAGATCAGGTCCGGTTCAAAGTCCCATATAGATGCCTTGGAGGGTCGGCGTCATCATGCCGCTTCTGTCAAACGCGAACGTGTTGAGGAAGCCCAGGCTTTGATCTTCAAGAAAGCAAGGGTTTCGAGCCACTTGGATTGGTCAACCAACAGCCTGGGAAATGCATTGATTCGGATGAGGGCAGTGATCAAGAAGATGCCCCATCCTCCGCTGTGCCTGTCCCAACCCTGGGCCTCCAAACCCTGATTGGGATGTAGCAGCGGCTGATGAAGAAGTAGCTCGTGATCACTTCGGTTCTGGCGCAGAGGACTGAGAGGCTGTTTGTACAATAGGCTTTTGCTTCACTGTGTGCTGCATGCTTGTGCAGTACAAAATAGGAACATAGCCAGCCCAATAAAGGGAATTGTGTAGTCATCCTGCTTTGGGAATCATGCTCTGAGAATCATTGGTGCGCTTGGTACCATGATCAACAATGCGGAAACTATCAAAAAGGTTGTCCCGTTGTGTGCCAAAACTGTCTGTGTGTAGCCGATGTCTGTGTACCACTGTGTGCTTGCAGCATTGTGTCACTTGCTTAACTAAAACTCACCTTCATGTCTCTTCTGGTCTATCCCTGCAGCTGGCTCAGCCCCTTTCTTTGCAGCCATATCCTGATGAAGAACATGGTGAACCATCCTCCTCTTGTTCAGCTACCTCCTCCAAAGGCGTGCTCCGTATGCAAAGGACGTCTGGTAGATCGGTCTATGTACTCGAAAATTGTGTGCATACAAGGGCTGCAGGGTCACGCACCGTGCCAATTTTGCATACCAAGATGGGGTCAAAATCTATACCCTGACATTCAACGAGATGGAGAAGTATGGCATCGACCTAGTCACTCACAGCTTTGGATTCACCATGAAGTACTTCAAGATGACCTTCTATAGGTTTTTGTGTGGAAATCTAGCACCAGGGCAAGAGACTTCCATTCGAAACATGCTAATAGAAGATGGCGACAGATCCATGCATCCAAAGAAGTTCCAAGCACATCTGATGCGGGCTTTGGAAGGCTACGCCTTGGCCCGTCGAACTCCTGGCAAAATTGTGCCATTTCCGGTGGATCGTCCGGCTTCTTTCCTGAAGTTCAACCATGACCATGACCCCTTTCTCTTTCCACCTCCTGGGACTGTGAAGGTACTTTCCTTTGATGGGCATTTTGGTGTGCATATTAGACACAAAGATTTCGAACCTTCCAGGACAGTTGCCCTGAGAGGCCGACCCAAAAAGAAACAGTATTACAAAGAGGTACTTGAACATGTGCCAACAAGGAAAAGGAAAGGCAGGTGCTGAAGAACAGGACGGCTGGATGGCAATTTGTCATCGATCCGCATTCAAGGCATGTTGTGGCAGCAACGGACCATGTCGTGAACGAATCTACCCAGGAAAAGGTCCAGGTGATTGCAAAAACCAGGAAAATCGCGAAGGTGAAACCCAAGCTGCTGATTCATGATGATGCCTGTCCATAGGGTGAACCGCAAATGCCACAAGAGGAAACCCACACAAAGTCTGAGAAAAAGAGATTGAAAAATGTTCGCACTAATATGTCTGAGGTGTTCAATGCTTGGGTGTGTAAGAAGAATTTTGTTTTGAATTCTGTGAATGTTTTGCGTTCTATGAATCCTTGGAGTCACCGATTTTGCGTATATGAGAACATCCAGGTTTGGAACGGCAACCTTGGCAGCATGCCGAACTATATCACTCGCCGATCAACTGCCAGCACCCGAAAAAAGAAGGCCATGAAATAGCTGTAAAAAAAGGATTGCAAAGGACAAGGCTGCGCGAAAGGGATCAAATCTTGCTGCAGAAGCGGTCCGTTCGGGTACTCATGCCTCAAGGAAGGGCAAGGTGAACAAAAAAAGGATTCTGGGACTATGTGAGCTGGAGGCGCCCCACACATTTTCTTGAAATCTGTTTTTTTTTGTGCTTTTGCTTTTTTGCTTTTTTCAGGTTGAAAGGCAATGCAGAAGAAGGGAGAAGGGGCAACGCAGAGGAGTGGAGGAAGAAACAGATGGAGAAAACATCTGCAAAATTCCAAAACCCACAAAACAAGACACGCTAAAAAACTGGGCGCTCACAGTGCTGCTGTTAGAAAAAAACTATAAATGGCTTGATGAAGGTTATGAAGTTAACATGAAGTTGACCAGTAAGTCATGCTCACCTGCACTGAGTTCTCCCCCCCTCTTGCCATGCTCGCCCCCCTCTCGGCCCTTCGCACTCCTCAGTCGCACCTTTCGCCTCTCGCCTCTGTCTCGCCCTCCCCTGCAACCTGCCTTCAAAAAACACCGTGCTTTTTCGGAGGTTTTTGACCACTTTTTTCAAGATTTCAAAAATAACTATCTTGCAAATTCTTGCAAACACAACTAAATACCTGCAAAACACAGTTCTACAACTTGAGACCCAAAACACGCTAAGAACTGATTCAAAAAGGCAATTGTCATGCTTCCAAGCTCCCTAACCACACCTCTGACGCTTGATTTTTTTGTGCTCCATCGTGTTCCCCTTCTTTAGGCTGGGTTGACCCTCCCCACAAAGAACCACTGCGCAACCCCTCACATCCCCTAAACATCTCTTCCTTAGCCGCAACGACTCAGCCCATGCAAGCCTTCCGCTCGCTTTCGTAATTACTGCCAAGAAAAATGAGTTCTCGAAAATATTCACTCTGAACATACTGAGACCAAAAAATTAGGATGACAACATGGGCCTTGAAACCAATATGGCGGATGTAGGCCGCATGCCTCTTCAAATTTGAATCCAATGCAAAACATTGTATATCCAGTGGATGATTGCCCTGGAAAAGCACATTGTTATGTTTGCTGTCATGATCTGCTTGCCGTCGCCCGGTCATCTCCCAATTCCCTTGAAAACTCAACTCAACTCAGTCCAACTCACCTCATTCAATTCTGATGCAGACGCAGCTGCATTAAGCTGTGATGTGTGGATAGGAGACGAATCAAAACACCCATGCATCGTGGCATCAAAATTCATCATTTTCCCAGCACGGTCTCATGGGCATGACATGCTTCGGGTTTCTTGATCAAGCTTTGCAAATGGCAGTAGAATGGCGGCGGAATGTTCCCCGACGGTGCCGACGCGGTGCCTACGTGGTATAGAACCAATCACTTGACCAATTGTTCAATCGATTCAGAACCCAATCAAACAAGCAGGCGCTCACTTTCTCACTCACTCACACACCCACTCACTCCCTCCCTCCCTCCCTCACTCACTCATTCACTCACTCACGCACTCACTCACTCACTCACTCATTCAACGAGTGACAAGTCAGTCTAGTCGATCACCACAATCATTACTTTTCTGTATTCCCGTAACTAAAACAAATGTGCGAATTAAATACTTACTATAATTACTGACCTGCAAAATGGTTTTTCAAAACGGTTCGCTTTGAAAATGTACCCTGAGCGAAAAAAAATATACAAATGGTGTTGAAATCAATACCAAAAAACGCGGATGATGGTGGATGTCTGTCTCTTCAGGTTTAAAAATCGGCCTACGAATATTGCATCAAACAACAAATCGGGGACCATCCACACCCGCCAAAAATCAAGAAACCACGTGTTCACTTACGAAAACAGACCATGTCAAAGCATGTCATGATTTGCTGTCGTCCAGTCATGTCCCATTTCCACAAATTGCCACCTGTCTCCCACCAAGCATCACAGTTTCACACAGTGGTTGCGCCGCCCTCGGGTTTCACCTCTTCCTTGGTGGCCAGGGCAGCGGCCTTGGCCTGGAAGGAGGCGGAGCTGACCTCGGGGAGCTGCCCGCCAGCAGACTGAGATGTTCAGTGTTTTAAGGAAAGGCGTGGAAAGACCTAAGCAGTATCATGTTGTATCTTCAACAACTTCAGCAAGCACCATCATCACCATGAAGTAGCTGTATACATGGGACAAATGGATACAAAAAATGAGCCTTTCATGTCACCCGCATCATCGTTGCCACCACCACCGTCAAGATCGTTTTCGTCGTCATCGTCGTTGTAGTGGCCGTCGTGATCGTAGCTGTTGATGGTCTAGTCATTGCGTTATCGCCGGTCATCATAGTCATCATGGTCGTCCTCATGATCATCATCGTCGTCATCATCGTCATCGTCGTGGTCACAATCACCATCATCATCGTCATCATCGTCGTTTTTCATCATCAACAACAACATCATCGTCATCATTTCATCCTTCACGACCTTCATGATTGGCATCATTGCCACGGTGACGATGACTATGACATTTTCTTCGGTCGTCACGTTGACGATGATGAAGCATGGTAGTGGAGATGGTGGTGGTGATGGTGATGGTGATGATGATGGTGGTGGTAGTGTCGATGGTGGTGATGATTATGATGATGATGATGGTGGTGGTGGTGGAGGTGATGATCAAGTTGATGCTGTCGATGATGTTGATGTTAATGATGTTGATGACGTTGATGTCAAAGGTGGTTGTGATGATGATGATGATGGTGATGGTGATGGTGATGGTGATATAATGATGGTGCGATGATGGCGCGACAATGGCGCAATGATGGGCGCGATGATGGCGCGATGCTGGCGCGATGATGGCGCGATGATATGGCGCGATGATGACGCGATGATGGCGCGATGATGGCGCGCTGATGGCGCGACGATGGCGTGCTGATGGCACGGCGATAGCGCGACGATGGCGCGACGATGGCGCGACGATGGCGCGACAATGGTGCGACGATGGCGACGATGACGATGGTGACGATGACGATGGTGACGATGACGACGGCGACGCCGGCGACGATGGCGGCGATGACGACGGCGATGATGGCCGCGATGGCGACGATGATGACGATGACGGTGCATGAAAACGGCGACGATGCGGCGATGTCGACAATGATGACGATGTTGACAAAGGTGATGACGACGACGACGACGACGACGATGATGTTGGATACATGGATCCATGGATCCAAGATGTTTGGAACAGTTCCTTTGACAATGTTGGCATTGCGGATTCGCAAGACGTTCGGATGTTGGGCTCATGCTCTCTGCGACTTGGGTCTGTGAAAACGTCAGAGAGTAGACGATCTTCGCAATCATGCACAAACATCATATCAATGCAAATGCACAAGTATCGATATTAATACATGTATAAAAATATATGTCGGTATAGATGTTGTGCATATGTCGTGCATGTGTTGCATATTGTATGTTGTGCACTGAATATGTTGTGTAAAGGAATGTTTCCTGTATATGTTGTGTAGGTGTTTTGTTTGTGTGTGTAACATCTAAATAGATGTAAGACTTATCCATTTTTCTTTCTTCTTTCTTCTCCCCTTCTAAAAGGAGATAGGTTTCCTCACGCCCCTCCGGGCACACGGGCACACGGGCACGCGGCCGATCCACGGGCACACGGGCACACGAGGAATCCACGGGCACACGGGCAAACGGGCACACGGGCACACACGGGCAATCGACCGGCCCGGGCAAGGGCCCACAGTCAATCCACGAGCACAGGAATCAAAGATAGATTAATTAGATTAATTAGATAGATAGATCGATCGATAGATAGAAAGATAGATTAGATCGATTAGATCGATTAGATCGATTAGATCGATTAGATCGATTAGATCGATTAGATCGATTAGATCGGTTAGATAGATTAGATAGATTAGATAGATTAGATAGATTAGATAGATTAGATCGATAAGAAAGATAAGAAAGATTAGATAGATAAGATAAACAAGATGAATAAGACAGATAAGATAGATGAGATAGATCAGAAAGATCAGATAGATTTGGTAGATCAGATCGATCGGATAGATCGGATAGATCGGATAGATCGGATAGATCGGATAGATCAGATAGATCAGATAGATCAGATAGATCAGATAGATCAGATAGATCAGATAGATCAGGTAGATCAGATACATCAGATAGATCAGATAGATCAGATAGATCAGATAAATCAGAAAGATTAGATAGATTAGATAGGTTTGGTAAATTAGATAGATGCGATAGATTAGATAGATTAGATAGATTAGACAAGTTAAAAAGGTTAGAAAGGTTAGATAGGTTGGATAGGTTAGATAGGTTAGATAGATTAGATAGATCAGATAGATCAGATAGATTGGATCGATTAGATCGATTAGATCGATTAGATCGATTAGATAGATTAGATAGACTAGATAGATTAGATTAGATCGATTAGATCGATTAGATCGATTAGATCGGTTCGATAGATTAGATAGATTAGATAGATTAGAAAGATTAGATAGATTAGATAGATTAGATAGATAAGAAGGATTAGATAGATTAGATAGATAAGATAAACAAGATGAATAAGACAGATGAGATAGATAAGATAGATCAGAAAGATCAGATAGATTAGATAGATCAGATAGATCGGATAGATCGGATAGATCGGATAGATCGGATAGATCAGATAGATCAGATAGATCAGATAGATCAGATAGGCCAGATAGATCAGATAGATCAGATAGATCAGATAGATCAGATAGATCAGATAGATAGATAGATAGATAGATAGATAGGTAGATAGATAGATAGATAGATAGATTAGATAGATAGATAGATAGATAGATAGATAGATAGATAGATAGGTAGATAGGTAGATAGGTAGATAGGTAGATAGATAAGATAAGATCAGATCAGATCAGATCAGATCAGATGAGATGAGATGAGATGAGATGAGAAAAGGGGGATAGATAGATGGATGGATAGGTAGATAGATAGATAGGATAGATAAGATAGATTAGATTGATTAGATAGATAAGATAGATAAGATAAATAAATAAGACAGATAAGACAGATAAGATAGATAAGATAGATCAGAAAGATCAGATAGATCAGATAGATCAGATAGATTTGGTAGATCAGATCGATCGGATAGATCGGATAGATCGGATAGATCGGATAGATCGGATAGATCGGATAGATCAGATAGATCAGATAGATCAGATAGATCAGATAGATCAGATAGATCAGATAGACCAGATAGATCAGATAGATCAGGTAGATCAGATAGACCAGATAGATCAGGTAGATCAGGTAGATAGATAGATAGATAGATGGATAGATAGATAGTTAGACAGACAGACAGACAGACAGACAGATAGATAGATACGAAGGCAAAAGGATAAATCCATAAGTAGAAAGGGAGACGAGGAATCTAGGGTAGACTGGGCCAAAACGGCACATGTGGAAATTAACTTAAGATCAAGGCAAAACAACGACATTAAGCTGCACGCAAACAACACGGCAAGGACAACGACATGCCATCTACAGCAGACAGCGCTGAAACGCCGCATGTCGACATTAATGTTAGATCAAGGCATCACAGCACAGCGGAACAAAGTTGCATGCAAACAACAAGGCAACCACATGGTCATGCAACAAGAAGGAACGTCAAACACACACCAAGGTCTACAACGACGGGCAACGAGCTCATGCTGCTATGACATCACGCTGCGGCAACCGGTTGACACACAGACAGACAAACAGACAGACAGATAGATAGATAGACAGGTAGATAGATAGATAGATAGATAGAAAGAAAGAAAGAAAGAAAGAAAGACAGACACACAGACATATAACATATAGATGCATAGGCAAAAGGATAAATCAATAAGTAGAAAGGGAGACGGAGATACAGATAGAGAGAGAGAGAGAGAAAGTGAGAGAGAGAGAGAGAGAGAGAGAAAGAGCGGGAGTAAGAGAGATCAATACACAGATAGACGGGCACCCGGGCACAACCCGATCCACGGGCACACGGACACACGGGCACCCGGGCACAACCCCGATTCACGGGCACGCGGGCACACGGGCACACGGGCAAGGGCCACCAGAGCACTGCCCTCTCTAAAAGTGCAGGGGGTGCCACGGATGCACACTGGACTGGCACCAACGAAGACGCCAGTGTGTCATCTGTGATATCGATGGGGACGCTCATCGACTTACCTGCACATTCTTTTTCTGTGATGGGAAGAGGCTCAACCCAAGAACCACCACGTCGGCTTTTTTCATTGTCGCTGCACTGTTGCCGCAATCTATGTTGGATGTCGATTTATTTGCAGGTTTTTGGAGTCTGGTTTGGGCTACGTTGGATTTTTTCGGAAGACCATCATTGCATTCATGAAGTACAACCACGAGATCTACTTTAGGTCTAATTGTCTAGGCTGGTTGCACGTTACAGGACTCAGTTCCTGATGGATCTCTTCAAAGATCCAATCTTGCCTAGTGTAATATCCATGGTGGCTCCGACATGGTGCCATGGAGCCAATTGAGGCAACCCTGTTTAGGGTGAGTGCTGACGATTTGACTACCGAATTGACAATTTTAATCTGGTAATTCATCTAAGTAATGCGAAACAGTTGACCTTACCGTTTACCAACCTTCTTGCGATGTCCCGCTGGTCCTGCCGTCCCAGTGCATCTTGCGGAATGCATTTCTGCCAGTGCGAAGCCAGTCCGAACTACCAGAAACCTTGTTTTTTTCGCTGCAGCTCAAGCTTTTGAAGCGACATATGACCATGAAAGACGTTGCAGGCAGGCACATGCTTTCCAGGTGTGGTCTCTTTCTTTTGATGGTTTTCTGGTGAGGTTGAACATATTGTGCATCTAATTCGATGGAACTTGAACAGCTGTTTATGCCATTGCGGCACGACTTGACCACGGTCCCCAAGGGGAATAACGCACGACTCCTAGTGTAGGCGGAACTGGGTCCTTGTTTAGGTTAACTGTTTTGGTTGTTTCACGCTCGTCACCAACTAGTCC